ACACGGTTTCGTATAACTGTCCCCACTTGACATGCAGTTTCCAATGACACAAACAGACAGGCCAGGAGCTGATTGACACCAGCAGCTAGGCTCCTACGATAGATTCAGAGTTGGTTTGTTCAACTCCTTGCAATGACTACTGCGTGTGTGTGTTTTTGGTGTGTAATTATTTTTTTGTGGAAGTGTATCAACCAGATATGATTATTTAAGTTTGGGGACCGACCTTTTACGAAATCAGTTCAGTTCAGTTCAGTTTATTGAATTCCATCTTTAAAAACATTTTTACAAAGTAAAAAACATACAATTTCATGTACAATATGATACATAAATTGGGATAGTATATACATGTGAAATGAATTAATACAAAACAGAATAAGGCACAGCTGTAAAAAAACAACAAAAGTTTTTGTCTGGACAGCTTCCTATCAAATTAGATATAATAAACATAGTAAGAAAACAAGTAGCAAGTAAAGTTTCGAATAGTATCATTCAGAAATTGCATAACAACCGGCACAAACCCAGTACATGATATACAACATGGTAGGATGAAAAAGTCAGAAGATAGTAAAGGGGAAGAAAGAAAGAGAGAGAAAGAGAAAGAGAGAGGGGTAACAAGCTAGATAAATACATTCAGTGAGAGTCATGCGCAATCAAGAAACTTTTGAGATTACGTTTAAAACTGTTGTAAAATGAGATTGAAGTTATATTAGTTGGAAGCAAGTTCCAAATTTCAGGTGCATGATGTCTGCAAGAATATGATGCAAAATGTGTATTAACACACCATCGGTGATATTTCTTCTTATTTCTCGTATTATGGTTATGTATTGTACTGTTTGTTATAAACATATCGGATAAGTTTTCAGGAAGCAGACTTTTTTCGTTCTTAAATATAAGTATAGCACACAAAATTCATTTAACTGGTATTCATTCAATATATTAAGTTGTTTAAAAAGTGGTCTTGAATGAGATTGATAATGAGATAGCGTTATATTTCTTACAACCCTCTTTTGTAGAATATATAAACGATGCAGTTTGGTTGGGTATGTGTTTGCCCAAACAATGTTGCAATAACTAAGAAACGGTAATATAAGTGTATTGTATAACATAAGAAGAACAGATTGAGGCAAAGTATGGCGGAGTTTGCTGATGACACCAGTATTCATTGACATTATCTTATTAATATGGGATATATGTGTTATCCAGGATAAGCTTTCGTCAATAAAAATACCCCAAAACTTGGTATTAGCAACACGATTAAGAACATTATCATCCATTTTTATTTGATATGAATTGAGGAGCTCTGTAGAAACCGGTTTATATTTGGAATGAAAATATATAAATTTTGACTTTCCAGCATTCAAGATTAATTTATTGCATTTAAACCAATTCGATACTTTCCGCAATTCAATATTAAACGTGCTATATAAAGATCCAATGTCATTTAAGGTGTAGAGGATATTGGTGTAATCAGCAAAAAGAATGAATTTCAATTTATCAGAACAATATGGAAAGTCATTAATATAAAGTAAAAACAGAAGGGGCCCCAGGACTGACCCCTGTGGCACACCACATGAAATTCACGAATAATCAGATAAAACACCATTAAATGACACACATTGAGTTCTATTATGTAAATAACTTTTGAACCAGAGGAGTGGTAAACCTCTTATCCCATAACCGGCAAGTTTGGATAATAATATAGAAAAATCAATTGTATCAAATGCCTTGCTTAAATCTAAGAAAACACCAATAGCATGCATTTTTTTTTATTAAATACACTAATTAAATAATCTTGAAGATCAATAACTGCCATTTCTGTCGACACATGCTTTAAAAAACCATACTGACTATCATTCAAAATAGAATTTGTACATATATAGCTATATGTACGATTATAGACGAGCCTTTCTAAGATTTTTGAAAAATAAGGAAGTATAGATATAGGCCTATAATTATCAACATTATGAATATCACTTTTTTTATGAACAGGTACAACTTTTGCAATTTTCAATCCAAAGGAAACAACTCCAGTAGAAATCGATAAATTGAAAATATAACACAATGGTGTAACAATATAGTGTATTACATTCTTTATGACATCAGGATTGAATTCATCAATGCCACAACTATTTGTACAATTCAATTTCTTTACTACATCAATAATTTCCTTTTTCAGATACAGCTTTAAAATATACAGAATTGGAATTTTGCTTTGGTAAAAATTTGGCAAATTTGTCAGTATTGCCTAAGGATAAGGAATTTTTCAAAGACAGACCAATATTTACAAAAAAATTGTTAAAATGATTGGCAATATCTTTAGAATTAGATATTTGTTTCCCATTTACATTTATGAAATTAGGTAAGGCATTGTGAGATTTACCCAGGATACCATTGATTAATTGCCATGTTTTTTCATATTTCCCTTTATTGCATAACATTTCATCTTGTAGTAGTCTTTACGTGCAAGGTTTAATAACTTATTAGTGTAGTTCCGTATTTGAACGTATTTCCTCTTGCTATTTTCTGTTGGTGAATGACAATACCTTCTATATACTTTATTTTTATTCCTTATCTTTTTATACAAGTCAAATGTAATCCACGGTTTTCTACTCTTTTTACGAACAGATTTAAAAGTTTTCCTTACAAATGCTCTGTTATAAAGTAATGATAAAGTTGTCGAAAACTTGTCATAAGCTACGACTACATCGGTATAATTAAAAATATTCCAGTCATTACGTAACAATTCCTCTTTGAAAACATTGAGAGATACATCATTGATAATACGAGAATTATATACAGACATTTTATAGATAGGGAACTGTTTTTGTGTTATTTGAAATATTAGGAAATGATCAGATATATCATTATTAAAATGGGTGACTTATTTTTGAACCGGGGTCATCTGAACCAGTTTGAGCTGACCAAGTGAACGTGCCGCTAGACCAATGCACATCTTGCGTAGAACCGTCGTACTCGTTAACTAATTTCCGAAATCTCTAACGATATATGAACAACTACGCAAGTTCACATAGGGATCCCAACGAAGAATATTCAAAGTTTTAACCTTCAATGAAGCTAATCAAACGGTCACTAATTGTAACATAGGCCTTGCGAAACTCCGAAGTTAATTGCGTCCGCGCAGCACATCAACTTTAAAGGAAGACCGTTTGTAGTCAGCATTGAAGTTATTGTGATAATCATAACACGTTGTTTTTATTACTTTAAGTACATACTCCAACGTGTCCCCGCGATCCTTAACTACAAAACAACCTGAGAGTTTAACACCACGAGCTTTACTGTGAAGCTACCGACCTTATTGTGAACTAGTTAGCTCCTAGCATGGCGGTTTCTGGGATCCACCCCGGCGACAAAGCGACCGATCCGTGGCGTTTCGTGATTCTTCTGTCGAGGTTTACCCTGTCTGCGCTTCAGCAAGGCGCGGTGAAATCGTTCGGTGTTCTCATGCCGTCTCTCGTCCTTAGATTAGATTCTCATTACCAGACGGTTGGTTTTATTCTGTCCATGGAGTATGCTGTTTTCATGATGACGAGTGAGTACGAGAACCGTCAATGTTTCTTTGAAAGTCAACTGTTTTTATCATCACATCATAAACGCAAATACAGATAGTAATGGTGACTATGATAATGATTATGATAACAGTAAAGATAGTTCTGTCCATGGAGTATGTCGTTTTCATGATGACAAGTGAGTACAAGAACTTTTATGATAACAGTAAAGATAGTTTCTGTCCATGGAGTATGTCGTTTTCATGATGACGAGTGAGTACGAGAACTGTCAATGTTTCTTTGAATGTCATCCGTTTTTATCATCACATCATTAACGCAAATACAGATAATAATGGTGACTATGATAATGATAATGTTAACAGTAAAAATAGTATCAATGATAATAAACACAATGATACCAATTAAAGTGATAATATTCGTTTTCATCGTCACCATCATCGTCATTATAATAATAATGATATAAATAGCAAAAATACAATATTTCTGGGTTTAAAAAAGGCACTTAATCCATCGACGATGTCTTTAAGCGCTTTTAATAACCCGTTTATCGGATCCAGGCTTTCCACGCAAACAATATCTATTTTTTGAACGTTTTCCACTTCAAGCCAGCCACCATTTGATAGCTACAATGACTACCGTATTTTACCGACATGATCGGGTACCCATATGGCACATTTGGCACCTGAGTAGAGAAGGGCAAATGTTGATTAATGTCTTTCCATATATGACGTTAATGCATAGGCTGGGATCTGGCAAATCTCCAACCTTTACACTAAGAGCTATGTGGATCATTTACCATAGGGTTTTACATCCACAGAGAAAAAATAGAATCTATTTGGTGACCGAGTGAAACGTGGGATAAGAAAATGTCGACATGGAATTAAAATTCATCTTTCTTTTTCACCCCTCCACCACCACACCCCTCTTTCTGTCTCATTGTTCTATTGTTCCGCGTATATTGTATTGAGAAGGTAGAAGTCATCCAAACAAAATTTTGCTTGAATAATAAGCAATTCAATAATATAAGCATAAAACTAGCAAGAATTCTTCGCTTCATTTTATTCATCATCCAACGCGTGGGTTTTCTTTTACCTCGTATATATATATATATATGGAGTCGGGCTTACTCTGACCAAAGACAACTCGGCCCAGCTGCAAAAAACGGTTATGGTTGGTGTTAGGTTTAGGGGTAGGATTAGGGTTAGAGTTAGGGGTAGGGGAGAGTTAGGGTTAGAGTTAGGGTTAGGGTTAGGGTTAGGGTAGAATGACCAAAAATGACCAAAAATGATCGTTTTGGCAGCTGGGCCGAGTTGTCCCTAGGGCCGAGTCAGCTCGGATTCGTTTGGTTGATATACATATACACACATGTGATTATATATATATATATATATATATATATATATATTTACACACACACACACACACGCACACACACACCCACACACGCACACACACACACATACTTACCCGTGTTTATATTCTTCATACATTGCTATCCCTAGGTCCATTTGTTCATCTACTGTCGCAGAGGTTCGAACCCCGATCCCTAGCCGTTGTGGGCGCCCTCCTATCCTCGGTGTGCATGATGCTCACCTCTGCTGTGCGATCAGTCTGGGTCATCGGTGCTTTATTTATGGCAGCAGGTAATAAGAATTATAATAATAATATTAATGATTGTAATGATAATAATAATAATAGTATTAATGATAACAATAATGATAATAATAATGACGATACAAATAATAACGACAATTATGATAGTAATAATGGTAATAATAATCATGACAATAATGATAATAATGATAATAGGCTAATTATAATAATGAAAACACTAATAATAATATTGTTAATAATGACAATAATGATTATACTGCTAATAATAACAATATTAATTATGTAATTTTGAAAATAATAATCATAAAAATAATAAGAATAATACAAAATGAAATTAATAATGACGATACCTATAATTAGAAGAAAAAAATAACAATAATTAAGAGAATAATGATAAAACAAAGCAATGACAATGGAAATAGTAATATTAATAGTAATAATGATACAATTTGAATTACTAAAGGAGAAAATTGATAAAAATGTATGTATATGTATGTATGTACAGTTAACAGATGAATTTGTCCCCATACGAATTATCAAACCCGAAGGTATTGTCATTTCTATGTGAAAATTCGATTTTCCCAATATCTTTTATCATTTTAGGTGACATATTCAAGCTTTTATCTAAAGATGTCCGAAAAAGGTCCACATTCGACCAGTCCATCTTTGATTCTACAGTTACGAAAAGTGCACAAACAAAATCAAATAAACGAGGGGTATGAATAGTTCACTTGCTAACTGTATGTATTGTAACATAATTTGTTGTGCTAACATCATCCCTATGTCATTATTGTATTTTTCGCAATTTTTCTGCTTGTTTTAGGTGCTCTTTCATCACCGGTGTTTCAAACATCGCATGTTCTACTACACGAATACTTTAATCATAGGTATGCCGCCGCCAACGCCCTAGCCTCTACTGGAGCACAGGCTGGAGGCATCGTTCTCCCTATTGTGACGTCACACGTACTAATTGCATATGGCGTAGAGGGCGCTCTGCTCTGCCTAGGCGTCATATTCCTGAACTTTGTTGTGATTGCATCATTGCTAAGACCGATTAAGGTGCGTGTAACCGGGGTTGAAGAAGACGCCATAGCAGTAGATACGTCGTGTCCGGTCGATAATCATCCCTCTCGCAATATAAACATTCAAACGCGAGACGAGACAGCTGGCCCGAAACATAAGGGGTTGATTAAAGGGTACCTTTTGCGAACCGGAAGCTGGCTTGCAGATGTGACATACTTTCAGACATTGAGAGCTGAGAAAGTATACTGTACTTTAATTCTCCCCTCCGTATTCTTACATCAAATTGCCTATATCGGATGGGCGCTCTTCATGGTCCCTTATGTCCATTCGTTCGGGATGTCTCCCTCTCGTGAAGCATACCTGCCAGTCACCGGAGCTATCGGTGGTCTCTTTGGGCGATTGACCGCTGGCGGCGTCCTCTACCTCCGCCCCAAATGGGGAAAACGGACTCTGGTATCCGGTACCATCATCTCCTCGGTTGGGCTACTAATATTCGGACTACTCCACAGTCACATATCACAGTTTATCTCTACTTTCTTGGCTGGTTTTGGTCTCTTTGCGACCTTCACGTCTTTTTACGCTATCCTTCATGACTCGGTTGCGAAAGAGAACTTTTCTGGGATCATCGCTTTCACGTCGTTTATTAGGGGGTTCGGTGTGGCTACCGGAGGCTATGCAACAGGTCAGTATAATTCATGATTGTTTAATCGAAAAAGAAAAACGAAACTATGAAAAATCAACCCCCCCTCAAAAAAATAAAATAAAATAAAATTAAAAAAAAAAAAAAACACAAGAGACATACAAAAGAGAAAACCCAACAGAAAAAAAAAAAAAAAAAAAAAAAAAAAGAAAGTAAAAAACAAAATGAAAAAAAAGTAAAAGAAAGAATAATTAAAAATATAAGGAACAAAAAAAAAAGAAAGAGCATCAATAGAACTGGAATATCTCTTCGTTTCAATATAATACTTACAATCCATTATTTGACCTAAATTTACACCCCTTCTCTCTCTCTTTCTAAGTTGCGGCATAAATTTCTATTATAACGCTTTAAAATGGAAATTTTCTAATCTACAAATCAGTTCTGCAATGAAATACAGATTGACCTGATCTCATTTGAAATTAAATAATTTACCAATTAAGTGGATTATTTAAGTGAATACAAAATCGTTTAAGGACCCAATGTTTGCATATTGAAACGTTCATGTAAACTTAAGTGCATGATATGTAAAAATATGCACGGGAATCAAATACTCGTACTAATAAAAAAAGGCATTGTTTCGATACATAAAAGAGAAGACAAAATAATGAAGAAAGGGAGCAATATCAACGATAATAATAATAATACTAAGAAGAAGAATTTAATATGGATTTCCTCTGTTTAATTTTAAAAGATGTTATAGAATGTCTAAATTATATATTTTTTTATTAATCATGTCACAACTCTGTATTATATTTTATCATATTATATTGTATTTAGTACCAAATTAAATATCACTTGAAAACCAAAAAAAAAGAAGAAAGGGGGAGGAGCATGCAGGAGGCAGAAGAACAAAAAGAAGATGAACTAGAAGAAGGAGCAAGAGGAGCAGGAAGAAGAAGAAAGAAGAAATAAAGTAGAATGAAGAGGAAGAAGACGAAAAAAAAGCTGATGGATAGAGAGAGGAGAAGAAGAAAAGAAGAAGATGAAGACGACAAAGAAGAAAATGAATGACAAGAAGAAGAAGAAGAAGAAGTAGGAAAAAGAACATTAGTTATAACATTTATGATCATTCTATATTGACTTTCTCTACAGGACTCATCTTCGAGTTAACGGGTTCATTTGCTGTCGCTTTCCGGGTCCTGGCCTGTATGGATGCCGCAATTTTGATCTTGATTTTCTCCTTCGCCCTCATCAAAAAGATCAACTAGTCGAGAGTGAAATGTGTGCATTTAAGCCATACTGTACTAGAAGAACTACATGTACAACAACGCCCTCTTTAGAGCTCTCTGAGGGAATCCGGGCTAACTCGGCTCAAAGACAACTCGGCCCAGCTGCAAAAACAGTTTTTGTTGTTGGACATTTTAAAGATCAACTAGTCGAGAGTGATAGCTCAGTTGGTAGAGCAATGGTCTCGTATTCTAGCGATACGGGTTCAAAACCATTCGAAACCATTCGAAACCATTGAAAAATATTTTAACTGCATATGTCTTATTTAATATTCACAAAACGTTTATTTTATCCACTTTTTCTTACTGCAATACTTTTTGGAGAAATACTTCTTGTACTCACTCACAAGAATTAAACTATATTACAGAAAAAAGCAATACGTATGTGTACTAATTCAAGTTAAATATCATCCCCACTATTAAAGAAATTAGGTACACTTAAGTTATCATATATAAACAAACTACAAATATGTTCCCTTATGCAAAGATTCAAGTTATATATCATCCCCACTATTTAAAGGTACTATGTCCCTTTTGCAGCCAACCTCAAATTCTGTAGAACTTTGCAGGAATTGTGAATATGTCATGTATGTCCTATCTGTGAAATTTAAACGTTAGCAGTGTCCTCATATTCAAATTATGCAAGGAAACCCGTTTACTTGCTAGACTTCACTGTCAGACACTATTGAGTGACTGACTGGCTTTTTTCTTCTTTGGTAATAACATACATGAAAAGAGTTGTACATGTAAAGGGTACATCAATAACCCACTTCTTGTGATGGCCAAGATTAAACTGATTGAATCTTTGCGTAGCATAAAACGTATGACCATTCATTATAATTGTCTGAAAATCAAGACTATTACTTTTGGGCTCTATAGCCCTAAAGTCGATTTGACAACTAATAGTCGTTATTTTCCCACTCGAAGACATTTTCAAGCCCCACCTTTTTTAGGGAAGTTCTAAATTAGTATTATCTTTCAAATGCAGTTGGAATTTAACTTTTTCATTTTGTTGGCCTGCAAATGGGACATAGTACCTTTAAGAAATTATGTACACTTAAGTTATTATATAAACAAATTACACATATGTTTCCTTATGCAAAGATCCAATACTCACACTTTGCCTTTATATTTAATGAATATGTTTATTTTAAAACGCGGCTATACTATTGTGAACAGGAGGAATTAAATCATCAACTCAGCTCTCAATTAACATAAGAAAAAGAGGATCATGGGGTACCAACAGGCACGGATTGGGCATTGTTTTCTATATAGAGGGAGCAATAAGGTACAAGTAGTGCAGTGGGCCTTTAAATCCTCAGATTCATAATTATCCTACAGGAAATGCAAATAAATAACATATAATAATGATTATTCAAGATACTTACTGAGACATTCGGGTCTGCTTCTTTGGAATAATGTAAAATGTATCCAATTTAATATTTCATTAAATAACACATTCAGGAGGCAATATAAGAAACATTTAATTTGTTCATATTAATAACTTCCAATTTGTTAAATATCTTTTATGTTCATTGTCTAAATTGTATAATAATCATGTAAAGACAAAAAAAATACATAAACTAGGTGAACACACCCTAACAAGCCACAAACCTGGTTTTCATTGTGTTCACCATTTTCCAATTATCCACTTTTGTTTATCTTGTAGTCTGTTAATACTGAATTAATTTATACTCATTAAATGCTATTGATTGAATTGTCATAGTTTTATTATGTTTTTATTGTCCATTAATTGTTTTTTTTTACACATTGTTTTAAATGTGGAATTTGGAAAAAAATGATTTAAATTGAATTGGATGCGCTAGTGCCCTGTGGTAACTTATCCTCATCACCAAGACCGTCTGAGAGGACCTAAATCAGTCGGTCCTCTGTTGCCCAACTAACAAGCATTTTTGCTTTCTTAGCAGTCATGTAAAATAACTACCACACACATTATAACTGTAGTAATCCGCAAAGTGTGGATTAAAGCCATACTGTATGGTATGGTATATGTTATTCATTCACGGTTAAAAACAAATACAACAATTGTACCCGCATTCAGCAAAAGCTGTTTTTCAGCGAGGCCGTGATTACATAAGATTCGAATAGAATATAAAACAATGAAAATACAAATTACAAACAAATATGCAAGTTATAATAAATGAACATATTTACATAAATTTAAGTACAAAATCGAATCATAGTGACAAAGGGAGAAAAAAAGGAAACAAAAGTATCTACGAGATGGAAGAAATGAGCAAATATCTTGAATTTTACTAATCTCAATGTTGTAAGATTAAAAAATATATATAATTCTGAGATCGTTGGGCACGGTATTAAAAAGCTTTGATGCATGGTATAATGGACTATGTTGAAGAAGGGGGATTTGTGAATTAGCATAACGGAACATACTAGAAGCACTGCATGAACCACAAAGTGCTTGCTAGAGCTCTCCGAGGACAGCTGTAGAAGTATGTGCCCTAGTCGCTACATGTTCTATCTGTTGGTTCTCGCATCAAGTCCTCTGCGAAGTGGGAATAGGGACTTTTAGATTCGCACGAAGACAATGGGGATTGCTACGATCGACGTCCTTTTAACGTACTGCCTTAAATGGACATCACATGTATCAGTCCAGAGTCAGAGTGTGCTGAGTAAAAATGAATTAACGCTCCTCCCCCCCCCCCCAATTTAAAAAAAAACATCCTCCTTGAAAAAAATCCTGCGTAGGCCACTGAGTTATCGGGTCTCCAAGTGTGTTCACTAGTACCTGTGTACACCGTTTGGGCGGACAGGGGGCGAGGAGGGCTTTAATTCTTTATGCATTATATATTTGATAAACATTTCACTTACACAAGACCCAGTCTTACTCAGCGTAATTTCCTGAAGTGGTTGCGCCCGCGCCAGTAGACATCAACCCAGCTTCCTCATCTAAACCGCGCGAAGTCTAATTTTCATTTTAGATTGTAAACAAACAACTAAACCCTTGAGAAAGGTCAGAAGCACTCTAAATGCCAAGTGAGAGCATTGGCACGGTCAACTGACGCTACGCGAGCTGAACTGTCCCCAAACTAGTAATTAGAATGGGTTTGGCCCGGGGTTTGGTCGTATAGGGAAGAAGTAGAACTAGTTAATAACGGTTTTAAACTGACTACGGACTGGCTTGGACTGCTTGGAAATGGCAAATTTACCCGATCTGAACTTGACATACAATGATGTAGATGTACAATTGAAGATAATCTGAAAATTTGAGCGAAAACATACCATTATTAATGATACGAATTGGGAAAAACTAATCTGATCGATTCCTCAATTCTCCCAACTAAATTATTACAATTTAATTACATTTCAGGTGAATGTAAAACGTCACAATGCAATGAATTGTCTATATAGGGGTGATTGCCCAGGTCCAAAATACAGCTTCACCACCATACTTTACAGTTGAGTGTGATGGTCTGAAAAGTGTGAGAGTCTATTAAAATAAAACTTTATATAGGCGTATTTAAAGATAAAGATCAGTTCTTGTCATGCGATTGCATTGTGAAAAAAACATTGCGGAATCGATCAGAAAAGGTTGATCATCTAGCATATAAGTATTGGTGTGTACTGCAAGGTTCTGGAATCATCAAAATGATAAGAAATTTGACCCAATCTTGGTAAAGTTACAAGCACCGTACACAGAAAGATGTATAAGGGACTACGCACACGTGCGCGACACGTGCGTTATATCTATCAGGTCGTAATAGATATACTAATTTACTCAATATATCAATAAGTTAGCGGCTTCTCGGCAAAATTGGATCATCACGTAATAGTCAAAACATATTCTTTCACATGATTGGTAATAAGAGCTTCCATTTCATTTTTAAGAGGGGGGGGGGGGACATTTCCAAAACTGGTCTTTACCTTTAAATGGAGTATTAATGCCCTTCCTACTTTCGTTATGGTCATGGAATCCACTCAAGGAAACCAGTCTGCTCGCGCAGACTCCGATTTGAAACATAACCACAAATAATAAAGCTCTACCATTCTCTTGCTGCATCATATCAACTAAGTAAAGCCTTTGCAGTATGCCCTCAGCCTTGTCTCACTGTGCAGATATTGTTACGCACAGCGACTGGCAAGGCTTTTTGTCTGCAAACTATCAGGACATCTGCTTGGTACAAGTAGGCCTGCGGCAAAGACAGTATGATATGTTTGCGAGATCACGTTTGGAGACTTATCCCCATATTTCCACAAAGTAGGCAAAGTCCAAATGAGAGCTGGGTGTTATTTCCTGTTAATTTGAACTCTCATGATCTTTCTTTCCTCATCCGGGAGTAGAGGTCACCTTAGATGATCTAGGGATCAACAAAGTCTACAAAAATCCCAGGGAACTATTAGCGAGCTATACATTATATTTAAAGAGAGAGAGAGAGAGAGAGGGGGGGGGGGGAGAAAGAGTAATGAAATATTGCCTCTGACATAGTCTACGTAGTCAAAACAAATTAATATTGGTCATATTCCTTTAATATTGAGTGTTATGGTAATTCAGTTTATTTTACATCATAAAAAAACACATTATGAATCATAAGTACAGAATAAATAAAAGGCCAGGACCATTAACAAGCAACTTGCGCTTGTACATGAGGTACCTGCCAAGGTAAATACATTATTCAATTAAATAGCGAACTTATTATGTAAATAAATGTTCATTAAGACGAAGACAGAAAAAGAGCGCCCATCAATTATCAGCAGGTAAATCAACCGTGCATGTATATACATACACCCACAATCACACACAAACACACAAGAGCGGTACAACAAAAAAGGAGAGTTCAGAATGAGAAAGAGAAGAAAGGGAAGCGATGAGAATGAACCAGCCGTTTTGTCATTTGTAAGTATAGCGTAGCAGAGCGCCTATTGATTTCGAAAGAATCTAACTTTGTAGGTGATCTGCCGCTTAGCGTAGCAGAGCACATATTGATTTCGTCAGAATCTTTCTA